TTTTTTCTGTTCAGTTTGGTCGTTCTGATTCCTTTCCTGGAAAAGTCGGTACATGATCAGATAATTAGAAAAAAAATCATTCAGTTTTTTTTACAGTCTCCATTCCTTCCATCTTTTTTTATAAATCTGTACTTTTAGCAATATGTAATCTTTACCCAAGCATTTTTTTTCATTCCTTTTGTCATCTAATGGCCAGCACTTTCCTAACCAGTTTTCTGCTTCAAATATATTAGAGTTGTAAGTGTTTCCCTTAATGATTTTTGCTGTATACATTAACTTCTTCGTCTGTATTGGACAATCCTGGCAGTTTGCCATGTTCATATATGCAAAATCTAATAGCATTATAATCAGTGTTTCCACAACACATACCTGGTCAGTGTCCTTTCTAGGATGAGTTCTAGGTTGATTTCCTTTTCAATCATCCCAAGATTACTGTCAGTGTTTTGAACAGGTGATCAACAACATATTCCTAGATTTAATTTACCTTTGTGTCCAATATTGCTATTTATAGTGATTCTGTGGGATAACCCAACTTTCCATTTTCTAAATATCCCAAGTACAAAATGACGCAGGTTCATAATCCAAGGAATAAACCCAGCATGCTTGTTTTTCTGGTGGCCAAAAGCTTGTTCTACCAAGCACAAACCCACAGTAACCTATCTGCTACTCCCAAGAGGCGGGTAATCCTACTCTTGGCATTGTGCAACTCCTCTTCCTAGCTTCTTTCATTAGTTATTGTTATAATATTTTTCTTTATTGGGAATCATTTGACCAAAAAAGATAGCCTCTCTATTGTAGTTTTATAAAGTTTGGGACCTGTCTGTATCACAGTCACTGAACTCACCTTAACAGTCTCTGGAGAGGACACCTCAGTGGCCTCCTTTCCTCCTTTTCTTTCTTTGCAAGCCTCTTCTTGCTTGTCCTGATTGCAGACTTGTCTTTCTGTTTCTGAAATGTGCTTTCTGGGACTGAGTTGTTAACCGAGGAATATGATTCTGTGCACCAGCTAATTCATTTAAAAAGTGAATCGGCCTCAGATATAAACCCCTCCTGCCAGACCACGTGTTTCACAAAGAAAGCAAACATTTCTACCCTCTGGCCAGAACCAAACATACAGCCACATTATTCAAACACTCTTTAAAGCAGCTGATCAGCTGTTAGAACTCACAGTCTTTCTTCAGAAATAAATGAGTGGTATAATATAGATTTTGGCTGGCAGGGAGATCTGGGTCCAATTCCAAGCTCAGTCACAGAAGCCCTCTATGTGACTTTGAACCACTTTTTTCTCAACCCACCGACCTTACATATTGACATTCCAAAAGAAGGGAGGGGGGAAATCAGAGTTTAGTTTTATTTTTTGAAATCAATTCCTTGCTTGACTGGTTAAAGGAGATTCTTGCTCATTGCAGATGATTAGGCGGCTGGCTGATTAAATAGGATTCAATGACTGTGGTCCAAAGAGGCATCTTCTCTCTCTCACCAAAGATTAGGGAAGCATTGCTAGACTATCAGTTGCTGTTTGTTCTTTTGCCCCCCCCCCCCCCCCCAATTCCTGACAAATTTTCCACATATTTCTGAGGGAGGATAGTACAGAAATGTGTTCTGAATGTATTATGTTCCCCCATGGGATCCTTCAAATCAGGAAGTGTTTTTGGATGGTGAATGAAAAAGTAATCCTAAATGGATGGGAAAGATGTGTGTGCTTTCCTGAATGCACCTTAGAACAAGAACCAGCTGTAGCCCAGGTGCCTGTGCTTCTGACTTGCATAAGCCATATTGCTTTTCATCTCCAGGCAACAAGCATTATTGTTCTTTTTTAAAAGCGCTTGGTGGACAAAGAGCAGCTGTCTTCTGATAACTGAATTAGCTGGACTTTGACAGGCAGCTGCAAGTGTCAGTTGGCTTTATCTCTGTAAGCTACTGCTGTCTTCCGTATTGCCTTGTCAGCAGTTGAAGCTGTTTGAACTCACAGAGAGAGCGTTGATAGGTGGAACAATAAGCCCGGTCCATAAGTAAACATGATCAGTGTCTGTCGTTCTCTGTGTGCTAATGGGCTGTATGAAGCATCAGAAAATGTGTTGGCAACCAGAATGCTTGCAGATAATGATTACACTCATTTATAATAACATGATTTCTATTATAGTCCAGTTCTTCTGTTATGAATGACATGATAAATGTATGTTGAAATTTATGGAAGACTTGCAATGAGGAGTGAGATTTCCTTTTTCCATTCTTTCTCTCCACATACTTGTTTCCTTCCTGCTCCCATACTTCTTTGCATATATACATGCGACTGTAATATCCCACACATTCCCTATATATGCATATATTCTTTTTCTTATAGTTGCTTGCACAGCCCAAGCATACATGAAGCACTTTCTCTCATCCCACACAACCTACTTATGATCCATCCAGATCTGCCCATAATTTCTACCAAATCACAACACCAGAGAATCTAGACCGATGTGCATCCCAAGAATTTTAGTGTTTTTCCTCGCCTGACTATTCTTTTGCAACTCTTGGGAAGATCTGACTGCATAGAACTCTTAGTTTCAATCATTATTGGTACTGGTTTGGGAAAGATAACGTGGACATAAAGCTGTCTAGGGTGGCTTTATAAATTTGATTCATAAATAAAATAAATACAATCAGATAAAGTATCTCTTTTCTCTCCCTCCACTTTTTTGTCAGACCTTCACTGACCCTAACTTTTAGAGTCTGTGTGTGGCTATTATCAATTAATATTGATTCATCTTGGCTTTCTGTATTACGTATTGCACATACTATTCTTGATCTGTTTTTTGTGGACTAGATCTTTTAAAATAATAAAAAAGGATCTACAGGTATTCATTCCTTATTCTCCAATATTTGACCTACTTGATCTGAAATCAAATTAATTTACCGATTCCTGAAGTATAATAGTAATTAATTTCTGCATGAAGAAATCTGCTTAGAGCATTGCCATTAAACTGGTGAGGGAATTGCATTTTATTATCAGATTAAATATATCCATTCATGTAAATTTTTAATGACTTAGGAAGAGTGAGATTGTTTCACAGTTATTTTTCAAATCAAATAAGCTATTCTATAACCTGAGTGGCTATCGTTACATTCAGTTATTTGCCTGAACTATGTGTTTGTTTGGGCTACAGTATATTTTTCCTCTTGAATATTTCTGAAGCAAAACTGATCTTAGTCAATTAGGAAACAAGTTGGATGTAATTATTTCAAAGAACTTTATACTTAATGAGCTACCTTGCAAGGGTATTCTGGTATCCTCATTTGTTAAAGGAATACTGAGTCCTAGGGATTGTACCTTCTCCTCAAAAAGGGCACCCTACATCAACTAGAAAATGAACATCTGCAAAGTGCTGGTTTCTTCCTTGTTATCCTTGAGGGGTGGGGGTACACTTTTCCTAGGACTACAGAAGGCCTTTTGCAATTTCTGATTTGGAGATATGCTAAAAACAATAACCTTGCATTCGATCCTAACAAATCTTCCACTCTGTTTGACTATTTATCATAATAAATTTCCCAGTTTTACTTGTTATTATTCCCTGAATATACTGAATGATATATCCTATAAAGAAATTCTTTTGGGAAATCTGGGATACAAACATCATAACAAAAACCAAACATAATCCAGTTTTGGAAATAAAAAATATGTACAGAATATCCTAAGTACAGTATTTGTTGAGAGTTAGCATAGAAGGCAGCTTTGTGCAGAAGATGATGATCCAGGATGATTTCAGGTTCACATGTTTTACAGTTTACATCAGAATGATAACCCTGTTCAGGTAGACCAAACCAACTTTTTCTTAACAGGGTGGAACTTGTATTTCATCTATAGCAGGCCCAAGGGCAGTTTTGATTCAAAAAGAACAATGTGTTTAAGACAATGGAACTTTGAAATGAATGACTTTTTAATTAATACTCAAACTGCTAGTTGAAAACTATATGGGAAGAATTATCTTTGTTCCGTAAAGGAAAAAAAATCACTTTTAACAGTACATTCCAGTAGAAATTGTGTGTAACTGTAAGAATCAAAACATGTATTTATGACTTTTAAGTAATCTTTCCCAGGCATAATTATAATTTCTTAGTTTTCAAATTCTAAGCATCCACTGATAAAGCATACAAATAATTCAATTTATGGCCTTCTTGTTCTTTTTTACCCCTTTTACTTTTTCTTTCTTTCTGTGTAATCTCATTTCAAGACAAATCAGTTAAATTGTTATGATCTAATGCTTACCACCTTGATATATTACTTTAACCCCTTCACCCACCTAAATTTATTTATGAAGTGGGTAGTGGTGAACCAACAGAAACTGAAGCTCAAATACTTTGGCCACCAAATGAGAAGAGCGGACTCACTGGGGAAAAAAACCCTGATGTTGGGAAATATTGAATGCAAAAGAAGAAAGGGGGTGGCAGAGGATGAGATAGTTAAATAATGTGGGCATGAGTTTGGAGAGACTCTGGGAGACAATGGAGGATGTGGGGGCTGGCATGATATGGTCCATGTGGTCACAAAAACACAACTTAGTGATGAACAACAACAAAAAATGGTGACTCAAATGCTTCATGGGATGGAAAAGCTAAAAGATTCCTTTATTCTGTAAAATAATCTTGATGAAGTAGGATATAGTTTTTATGAAGATCTTAAGTTTCAAAAGATCCCATATGCTGTATCATAAATATGAACATTATGTGTAATTTTATGTAACTGTAGCTCGTCTGTGTGACGCAGGGAATTGGAATCACATGTGTTTGTGGTTTTCTATTTTTTTTTAAAGGTAAAAATCTACTCTATAATCTGTTAGGGTTATTAATAGAAACAAGAACATGTACTCTTGGATGGGTTTTTGTACCTGTTTTGCTATTTATTAAATGGGATCCGCATATATCTATTGGGTGTGGGAGATTTGATAAATTACTAAGATTATACTTTTAAAATTCATTGTTGATTAATGCTGGTTTTGGGTTTTTCCCCATTTTAGGGAGTACGAGTTTGGTTGCGAGAAAATGGCCAACATAATCCAAGCACTGTACTTTCCTGTGCAGAAGGAGTTGTTGTATTCAGGACTGATTATGGACAGGTAAAAATGCATTGCTTCTAAATATGTTTTGTTTGTACTATCCATATCCTGGTAAGTGAATGAATTGTTATGAACTCTTACAGTTTTTTCTGTTCATAGGCCAGTTTTGAGAGCAGTTATTTCTTATTTACAATAATTCCCATGAGGTAACTGTTATTATTCTTTACAAATAGAAAGGCATCAAGAAACCCTGAGAGGTTTTAGGAAAGTCTTCTATGTTTGTATAATCTTTGTAGATTTCCTTCCCTCTCTTCAGCTTTTATCACACCCAGTGCAGGCCAACCTCTCCTGAATCATCTCAATGTATGTACTACACTGGAAATGTCATCTGTCTTTTAAAACAACTAAATGTGCTTATTATACAGTACTAAGAGTGTATGCTTATTCAGAGAAAAAGAAGTGAAAGTTAATCACTTTCACTGTAAATGGCAGTCAAAGTGATAGTAAGATTTTATAGCTTATCTTACAATGTAAAATTATAGAATTGGAAAGGACCATTGCATCAATATAGGAATCCAAGTTTAACCATCTCCAACAGATGGCTGATTGGCCTCCACTGGAACTCTTCCAATGAATGGGAGCAGACTTCTCTTCTTCATGATTCGTTCCACTGTCAAACTATTCTAACTATTTGGAAGTTTTTCCTAACATGCAATCAAAACGTTGCATGGAACTTAAGACCATTGTTCCGTGTCTGACAATATTGCCTTGAAAATATTATCTCTCTTTTTCTGAAACATGCATAGAGTCACAAAAGAATAGCACTTTTTTTTTCTTGGCTGATTATGATTGTTTCTGTGAATAATGTTAAAAGGGTTTTCCTTTTTAAAAGATTAAACATCCTACACACAAAAGAATCACATGATATATTTCTATTTTTGTTGGTTTTTACACTAACAGAAGGGGATAAAAATAAATTTTTCCTTTAAATCTAACAAGACCGGAACACAAAGGAAAACAGAAATGTAATGAGCAATAGTTTGAAGGGGGGGGGGTGTCCAGTGGATGACTGCAAGCTGATTAGCCTCTATAACATCAAACAAAAGAATGTTTAATTAGAGCACTAGTGGACGAGAGCTTGGCTGTGGGGGTCATGTTGCCTGGCTTCAGTTCTCAATGCTCTAAATAGAAGCAGCTGAGATTTAATATCTAAAAAATGTAAAATGTGTGCATTTCCCAGTCAAAACCACAGATGGTAAGTATCATGGACCTTGACATTCAAAAATCTTCCCTGAATTTGCTTAACAAAGAAATCATTCATGGAATGGCATTAGGCTAGAAAATAACATGATCCAGTATCCTCTGCTTTAAATAATAATACCTGTAAAAATCTTCTCCATCTTTCATCCCTTCCCAGCTCCCATTTTTTTTCCTGATTTTTGAAAGAGGCCTTTTCCTTTCCTTCTTGGGAACTTAATTTAAAAATACTTCAGCAGAAACTGAGTGATGTGGTTAGCTTCAAATATATTCCTGTCTACAGGGATTACGCTTTATTTTCTCATTCTCTTTGGGAGTATGTGGGAGGTGACGAGCAAGAAGTAGTGGAAGTTTATGACTATCATAGGGTCTTGAGAATCCAGCCTGCATGCCTTAAGAATTCATTTTAGATGGATCTTTAAAGCAGATGGCAGCAATAGACAGCTAGGAGACCTTGAACTCTTTTGAAGTAGGAGAATTTGAAGCTCCTATGTTGAAATGTGTAGGCGGTCACCTTCAAACTAATGTTTGTGGTTCACCTCCCTTTTTGCTTTTCTGTTTAAATCAGCTTCTGTAGTTTATGCTCCTCTTTTGGATTGCCAGTTCAAGGAAAAGGGAAAACCATGGAGGGAATACTCTTTTAGAAAGGATTTGGGACTGAAAATATGCCTGAGTATTTCACACTATTTGTTCAGGATTGTTCACCGAGAAAGCTAGTTGCTGACCAGACTTTTGAGTCCTTATTTACTAAAAGCTGATTTGGTACAGATCACACATTCTGTGGAGTGTTGAATGTAACAGGATTTCCACTTGCCTATGAACTAATCCAACTCAGGCTTACCAGCCCATATTGGGTTTTACTAAAACCAACAACCCAACCTTAATAGTGAACTACTAAATCCTGTTCAACCCATTTTAGCTGCCAAAAGTCACCTCCAGTATTCTCCTTTCTGGGTTTAAAATGGCTGCATAGCAACTAATACTAAGGACATCTGACTTATAGCCTCTCCTTTCCTATGGACATTGGGTTCTAAGAGAACCTAAACAATATTCTATTTACAGATCATTATCAGCAAAGTTTAGCACCGAATTAGTCCAGTTTGCTTTGGTGTCTGCATGAATATAGGAAGAGCCAACAAGAAGCCATGGCTGAAAATAGGTGCATCACAATAAACAAAAGTGCTCCCTTAGAAGTGGTGATAAGATTTGAGCCTCATCTTGAGAGTTCCGGTTTGCAGGGCTTCGGCGGCAGGCAGGAACCCGCAATCGTGCATGGTTTCTGCCTGAGCTCGCCGCTGGAGCGCCTCGAGCCAGCTGGCTTTGGGGCTAAGCCACCCCGTAGAGGTGGTGAAGACGGGGAGACCCAGCAGGGTTGAGGGGAGCCGCATCTCTCCTCCTCAGCTGGCTAAACTCCCTTTCCTGAAGGCGGTCAGAAATGGCCGCCTCAAAGAAGCACTCAGCCGGAAAAGAAAGTGCAGGAGGAAGTTAAGAAGTGAAAGTTTTTGGCTGACCGGGACAAAAAGCAACAACTAAGGTATCCTGGAATTTAAATTTTACAAAAGATAATACCGCTCCCAAAGAAGAGTCGGAAGCAGCGAATGAAAGTGAAAAGGTAAAGGTTTTTTTTCTTCACTCTCCTTCCTCACACTGACAACGAGAAGAGCTGAATAAAGAAATTGAAATAAAGAAATAGTGCCGCTTTGGCACTAAGACGTAATTGAACTGGAAATATAATTAAATGCCAAAGGGACAATAAAGATTTCTGAATACTAAAAAATTCTTCTTTTTTTTTTTGCTATAAGTGGGAAGGGAGAGGAAAAGAATAAGAGCAGGACTTGGAAGGAGGAGACTGCTTGGAATTCAAAAGAATTTAAAGTTAAATCTTAACAAGACTTCTAAAAGATACATTTTAACTGGAACTTTGCAACTAAATAGTAACACCAAGAACAGAAAGTGAAAAAAGAAGAAAGTGTCAAAAGAAACAGCTTGTGTGTATTTGGATTGTTTGGTGACTGAGATTTTTGGAAATTATATTTGAATGACTAAAAACAATTGAGTGGTTGTTTAAAAAAAACTCTACAATGGCATCACTTCTGGATGAACTGAAAATCGAATTTAAAAAATATAAAGAAGAGGAACAAGAAGGGAAGGGCTCCTTTGGCTCCATTTTTCAATTCTTAGAAATGGCAATTGGTGTCTACAAGAAACAACAAGAAAAGACTGCACAACAAGAAGATTGGGACAAAGAAGAAGCCATTTTTAATGAACAAGTAACTCTATCTGGGGAAGAAAAGGGGGGAAAGAGAATGGAGAATTTAAGATTAAAAAAAAAAACAGCCAAAAAAGGGAAAAAGTGGATATAATGTTGGAAAGCAACAGAAAAGGGGAATACAGAAGAGGGAAATGGAGGTGGAGAGACAGGGGGTAAAAAGGGGACAGAGAAGAAGAAAGGGAAGAAGGAAGGGAAGAGAAGTTACAAAGGTCTGGAGCAAGATGTAAAGAAACAGGACTTATTCAGAGATAATGGGTGAAAATTTAACTGAAAAAGGGATTCTGTAAAGGTACATAAGATTGTATTGTTATATTTGTAATAGAAATAATGTTAGAAAATTGGAAACAACATATGATTAAAAAGTGGAATAAAATAGTGTAATTTAATGAAACTTTTGTGAATAAAATAAATGAAATGAAATAAATGAGAGAATTGAACTAGGAAGGAATGGGAACATTTTAACTACTCAATGTTTTATAAAATATAAGTGAAGTGGGGGGGAAGTAATTATGGAAAGTTTATAAGTGTTCCCATAGAAGTATGATACTTATTTGAAAAGTAATGTGTAAAATGTTTAAGATTTAAATGAATATTAATATTAATGATAGAATTGAATTGGTAGGGATTGTTGTTTTAATTATGTTATATATCTATATTTTTTCTTTTTTTTTAAATACATTGTGTAGTTTTAGAATGTACCAAGCAGAATCTGAACGGAAGTTATGTATTATATTAAGTGTTATAATTTTAGGGGAAAGATATAAAGGCGTCATACTCCAATCAGTGATCACGGGAGAAATTTTGTTTAATGAGAAAAGATAATAGACAGCTGAAACAGGACAGACAAAGAATATAAGTATGATGATTTGAATTGAGATGAAATAAATAAAATAAAATTAAGAAAGTTGAAAGAGGGGAGAAGTTATATAGAAAATGTAGAATGGTAATAAGATATGGAATGGAATATAAAAATGAGCATGAACTTGAATTTGTGTCTGCACGAAGAGATGTAACCTGGGATCAGGCTGCTTTCAAAAAAGATGTTTTATGTTTTATGTTTTGTTTGTTTATGTTTGTTTTTAAAAATCAATAAAATTTTCAAAATAAAAAAAAAGATTTGAGCCTCATCTCAAATTTGCAGATCGAACTTTAAAATGCTAGGTCTCTTCGAAGATGTTTACTTCTCCAAAGAAGGAAAAAGTTTTTCAGTTGCTAAATTTTAATTTAACACATTCATTCTTCTGGTCTACAAATTACTTCACCATCCAAAATAGTTTGTAGCACACATAAAAACAATAAAACAATAATAAAAATAATAAAATGTGCAATATATACATTGTTACGGATTGTGATATAATAATCAGTCCCTTCAACTATTAAAATACTTTATAAAGATAGCAACCATCCAATATTAAAAATTGCATTAATAAAGCAACTAAAGAATACAGATGCAAAGTTTAGACCTCTTTTGAATACAAAAAGGATGGGAGAAAACAGAACCATGAATAACATACTCAGCTTCTTGGAGCAG